AAATGTATCCTTACAACTTATTTTAAATGGGAGAGAGAATGCAAGAAAGTGCATGCATGTGTGTGTGCACACGGGAGGAGTGACATGTAAGAGTGGAAAAGCCACGGAACATAATGTACTTCCACTTCATTCTATGAGTATTGTTTTTTCTGTAAGTAAACTGCACCAGCGCTGTCTTGCCAACAAACAATTGAGGTATAAACACACCCCTGGAACATTAAAATTCAAATGAACTCATTTACAGAGTACAAATATCCCAATCCCTGACTAGTGTGACCATCAGAGAAAATCCTACTCCCACTGGAGGCAACAGGAGTTTTTTCCAATGACTTCAACAGAAGCAAGAGGAGATGCCCCCCTCCCAAATACTGTTAGCAGGTTCCTGATAATATTTATAAGAAGATTGCAGGACAGTTTCCATTCTAATCCATTGTTTGCTCATATCCATAATGTTGTTAAACCACGCTTTTGGGTCTGAAATTCTCTATGCTTAGTATCTGTCCCATTATTGAGCAAAATAATAACACCTAGCACTTATATTGCACTCTTCATCAGTAGAGCTCCAAATGCTTCACAGTCTTTTTAATGTACTTATCCTCACAATACCTCTGTGAGGTAGGGAAATATTATTATCCCCATTTTTTCAGATAGGGAAGTGGGGCATACAGGATCTTGCCCAAGATCACACAGGAAGTCTGTAGAGGAGCTGGGGAATTTAACCAGGTCTCTCAAAGTCTAAGCTAGGGCCCCAATCACTAGACTGTCCTTTATCTCAAAACAGTTCAAACATTTCTATGTGAAAGGAGAGTGAGGGAAAAAATGCACTTTCCCCCATAATTAAAAAAAAAAAAATCTGACTTTTTGGAACAGGGCTATAAGTGGCTGAAGTTTGAAAATGGCACTTTGACATGGAGACATTCCTTGCTGAGGGAAGGAATAAATGGCCTTCTATGGAAGGAAATTGGTTTTGATTTGTATTTAAGTAAATTTCAAAAGAATCTTGCTTGACAATGTAAAAGTTTTAACAGGTTATACTGTGTAGAGGGGTGTGTGTCCGAAAGCCTGTCTGCTTCTCTCCCAAGCCCTGCAAACCACTGTAGCTCTGAACCACAAACTGGCATTTAAAGTAGCTAGCAATGGGGACTCCCTACCCATGTTCAATGTCACTCTGCAACTACACTTCATTACATCATGGCAAATAAGAGAAACAACATAGTGATGACAACCCAGTGACCAACCCCTGCCCCTCCACCTTATTCATCATTTTTGTATGCACAGATGCACTTTCGGCTAATGTAAAAACTAGAGGATACAGACAGACAAACTTCAACCAGCTTTGTATGCATCTAAGATGAAGTCTGGCAGGCTGAGTCACATATGTGCTGGATGTCATGTGTCCCAACAGCCTCAAATTAGCCCTCATTGCTGTTCGGAGGTTGGTTTTTAGACTTGTGCAGAGGTTGGTTTTTAGACTTGTGCAGAGATTCAAAATGGACCCAAACTTTTCTTGAAGCAGGCAGGTCATTGCAGTCATAGAATCAAGAATGGCCCCAATGAACTCGATTCTTTTAATTGGTGACAAAAATCAACTGCTCGGTTTTATTTTTAGACCCAGCTGAGCAAATAGGGATTGAATCTGGTGGATGTGGTCCATCACCTGTTGGTTGAACTGGCCCCAAACCAGAAGCAAGGGACACCATCCTGAATTTTATCTTCCTGATAAAAGTGCTTAACTTTCTTAAGCCCAAGATAGGCCTCAAACCCCCTTTGGGTATGATGAAAGGACCATGAGCTTGAGGCAGAGAGCTCAGACTTGTAACCACAGGCAGTGAGAAATGGATCAGTGTGGCCCTTCCCTTTTTGCCCTCAATTCAAGGCACAAGGATGTGCAGAGCACATGCGCCACCCCAATGGGTACTGCTAGCTGAAGGTCTGACTCGCATATTCTGGGTTCATACACACCTGAAGTAGAATATATATTATGTGCACAATCATTTGAAAGAACACAAAATGACACAGCTTGTTCTTAATCTCTGTTCTTCCACCCTCTCCGCTCATTTCAATTATGTCAGTCCTGCTTCTCAGAGCTCCCTCTATTTTTCAACAGGGTATTTTAATGTTGAAAAGCACAGAACTCTCTGCACCCCTCAAAAAAGAGCTGGATAAGCAGGGAAAGACATTTTACTGTGTCATATGTAAGATGGGTCAACAGCATTTCCTACTGTGGTTCCAGAGTGAGATCCAAAGTCTGGATGGGAGTAAATGAGGCCGGGAAAGAATCCAGGCAAGAAACAAACACAGAATTGATGCCTGGGGCCATATTTCTTATCACATAATGTGCTGGACTGATCAAAGCTCACAATCTCTCCATTATTATGGTAGGATATTTTCTTAAATGCAGAACACCTGAACTCAGGGGGCCACTACCATATTAAAATTAATAAAGGATCTCAGTGTCCCTGAAGCGGTCAAAGAAATGAAAACGAGAGACCAGCCAAGTCTGCTGCCTTTGGGAATTTCAGTGCAAAATTAAAAACAGTTAATACTGAGTTTGTGTGTCTTGAAAGAAAAGTTTTAATATTTTCAGAAACACAGAATGACTCTTTTCTTATAGCTGACATGAGAAAAGTTGTCTGTACTCAGCATGCTGTCAGCTGCTGCTATCTTTGTAACAGATCCTGGAATTGAAAGTCATAAATTACTGACATTCTCCCTGATCCCCAGTCCACAAACAAAGCACTCTGGTCTCAGGTGTCTTTAATCTGTTAATTTTCTTTGTTTGTTACATTAGCTCACCCGTTCCAGATCTCATTAGCTTTCTCCTGTTACACACCTCCAGCCGCACCACAACCTCAGTGTCTGCAGTCTCCCGGTGTGACAGCTTCCCTCCTGAGAGCCACTACAGAGGTTACTCTAATGACTGTCACTAAATACACAACCCTGCTATCAGACATAACATTAATCTAAATGTAACATCGATTAAAACATTTCAATGAGAAAAATATTTGCCCAGGGAAGCAAGGATTATGTTTAGAGCATAATCAAAACAGAAAAAGTCCTTATCTCCTGATAGGTTTTAGCAAGTGACTTACACTTTCATTTAATGTCTTTAAGAATATTAACTAAGGATTTTAACATAGAAACTGATACTGTAAACAGCTCAGTTTTATTTACAGTTGAAAGGCAAAGAGAGTTTGACCTTCTGTTTTTAAAATATTTTTTCACTCTTTAGAAATTCTTCACTGAGAGTAGAAAAACCACCCCAATCAGCCTGCCTAAAAACTGAACGAGGAGTGCAATCACCACTAAACCCCAGTACCTTCTTGCTCCCTGATGGGGACTGAAAGCATTGACAAGGCAGTACAAAGCACATTGAGGAAAGAGGGCACCTTCCTTCACTCTCTAGTAACCAGGCCTTGCCTTCACTGTGAGAGAGGCAATGAAAGGCCTCAGAAAACTCTGCATGCAGCCCATGGTGATTGGAAGAAAGATCACTACAATGTGGATCCTTTGAGGGTGGGAAAAAGTAGGTGGCCTCATGGCGCCAAGAAGAGTTTAACATACCCCTGGACAATCTACCATCAGCAAACCCAAGATGCTGAGGTGTTGGGGATCAAGGAAGCAAGTCAATATACTGAACAATCCAAAACGAGTTGCACTATCCCTTCACTCTCTGCTAGCTCAATTATTGTTAATCAGAAGGGGACCAAAACATATAAGCTTCCTGTTCCCCAGCCATCTTAGGACTTGATTCTGCAAGGTGTTGAGTGCTCTGGCTTTGGTCCACCAAAGCACCTGTCCCATTGCAGTGATTAGTACCATGCAGCAAACCCTCAAAGAGTAAGTCCTCATTGGTTTCAAAACAGAATGAGCACAGAAGGTGATGGGGACAATACAACATCAGTGTGTACTTTTATGTCACATACTTCTCTATGTCTTATGAATGAGTTGCCCAATCTAGTAATTTGAATTTTCGTTTAAAAAAGAAAAAAAAAAAAGTTTCTAGCCTTCATGCTTGCAGAGAAAAGTTTGGAGATGTGACTGAAGTGCATCCTCAATGCTCAAAAACACAGAAAGCAAATAAGAACCCAAAGTTTGTTATTTCTTCTTTATAAAGCTCATTTTAAGCCATTCTGATGATTCTTGAATGTTCTGGGTTTGCAACACAGGGTTGGAGACCCAGTGATTAAGGTAGCTGTTCCTAGTGACTACTCTGAATGACTGAGCTGAGATTCCCAGATCTGCATGTGCATGGTTGTGTTTCCTCCCCTATGAGCCTCACACTGCAGGACTACATAAGAGTAACAAGACTAACGTATATAGCAGAGATAAGAACATATTCATCATGTAAATAAATAAGTTACAACAAACTGAAGTTGTGACAATTTCTCTCCATTAATGGAAACTGACTAGCTACAAGGCCCCGAATCAACCATTGCTCAGCCAAGATGTAATGCTACAGTAGCTTTTGCATGGTTTCCATGTCTTACTTTTGTCAATCAGAAGGTAGGATGATTACAATTTAAAAAAAAAATCAACAATTTGAAATCCTATGATGGCCCAGATGCTGTAAACACTCAAGAATGTGCTTCATTTTATTCATAAGTAGACCCACTGACTTCAGTGAAATGATTCAAGTCAGTAAAGTTATACACACCTTTAAGTGTTTGCAGGGTGGATTCCTATATTTGGAATACTGGATCCCCTGATTTATATTTTGGACTGCACTGCTAAGCACTAACAGATTTTCTTTTCACATTCCATGTGATGATAATAGCAAAACCCAATAATTTGAGAGTATGTGGCGGACAACATATATTTTCTTTTTTCTTTGTTTATCTGCAACATGAGCTATTCCATTTAGCTCTCGTTAAAGAGTGACATATCAACAGCTATCACAGGAAAACCATTTGAAAAATTATTAAAATTTAACACATCAGTTTTGCAAAAGGCAAATGTTTCTGAAAATAGTTGAGTTTTTTTATGTAAAAGATGTTTACCTTTGCAAGTCCAGCACGATGAGCACCTTTTGATTCCATGTACGCTAAGTATTTGTTGAACTCCCTGAATTCATCCATTGAAGGCCTAAAAGTCATAATTTTGCAGCTTGGGTTGGGAGGACTGTCCGAGACGACAGCTGCCATTTTGGCTCAATATCAGTCCTGCTAAAAATTAAACAAGTTATTAATAAGTATAATGTATATTGAAATGAAAAATCCTTCAATGAAAATAGCCTCCAAAAATATATCAATATATCTGCTTCTACCTGGAATGAACGCTTTTGAAATATTATCTCCCAGGCTGGTTATAAGAAAACACAATATAAAAGTACGACTAGGTTGTTCAGCCATTATCCACCCTGGTGAACCCAATCATGAGTAACAGTTGCACAATCTAGCCCCTCATTGTTTGTCTTTATAACGATATACTCTCTAAACTTATCCTTCAATATTATAGCAGCATCTGCTTGGGCTGGTTCATCTCCAGTACACTGTAATTTTCTCTGTTGTAGGTATTTACAATATATGGCAGCCTCATCACCATAGACCCCAAGCACCTCACAATACTCCTGTTTGGCAGTGAAGTCTCATTATTCCCATTTTACACCTGGGGAATTGAGACACAGAGAGATTAAGTGACATGTCCTAGGTGTTCTGGTCACACCAGAAATTTATTACACAGCCAAGAACTGAACCCAGATTTCCTGACTCCTTAACCAGAAGACTTTCCTTCCCCTCACTGTTTCTTTTAATAGGTTTTAAAGTATATATATCTATACCAAAGGCATAGAGAAACAGGACAAGTCCTCTCCCCCCCACCATGTTTTATCACTAAAAAGAGTAATTAATTTATTTCATTTAATTAAAAGCAACAAAAATATATTCTTGTCTCTCATACAAAGATATAATACTCATGAAATGAGTAGCCACTTATGTGGTTTTCACATACTTATGCTTCCGCTATAGAAACTAACACCAGTCCTGCAATTAGATCTGCTAGTACAGACCCCATCACCCATACAGAGCACTTGTGGGATCAAAGGCATACTTTCTGGGTTTGCAACTGAGGCATGTTGCATACCTCATGGCAGAACGCAATACAATAATTCAACCTTTGATTGACTTTTTAGAGAATTTGCATTATATAGCACAAAAAGGAATCAAACTGTTATAAGCAATGTCAGCTCACTGTAGGTCATCGTTTCTCTTTTGCCCTATGCAAAAGCATAGCCGGGGGGTGAAATTACATAGTGTTATAATTCAAAATAGTCACCTTTTTGCTTTGTAAAATACTATTTTAAAGCATCATCATTAAATACCAGCCATATAATCCTAATTCTAGCTCAAAAGTGTAACAATATATGTGAGCACAGCTATGAAAGAGAAAGTTAAACCAGTTTACATATTAAAACATCTTAGCTCAATTTGTTAGCATTTTTAAATATGCTGTGCTAAATGTGTGGTTTCCATGAGCAGTAAATATCTGTTCTAATATACTGGAATCTGTCATAAAAAAAACAAATAATGAATATTGAAATTAACTGGCATTAAAGCATGTTGGCCTTCCCACCATTATGGGATGGTGGGCAAGGACCCAAAGGCAGGCCACGAACCGTGCGGTTGCCATGTTGCAACTTTAAGAGAATGGGGCAGTACCTCTAAGAGGAGGGCTCTTATTGGGTAGTCTTGGAGCCTTCAACAAGCTCGTAGGTTGGCTGGCTAGCTGGGGGCACAGAGCACAGAGCAGTTGGTATTGACAAGAAAAGCACATGAAGGTCCTTCCCTACTCTGCCCTCCACCTCCACCACAGCAAGATACTCCTAATACTCTACAGACACACCTTGGATAATCCTCCACACTCTTTCCAGTCTTGCTGCCACTGCTACAGTGGCTTCATGCCTGCTACTTATTGCAAACCTTGGGGACATCTTCACTTTTCCTTCCTCGCCTTCTCCATCATCAGCTGTGGCTCTTATCTCCTCCCCACCCCACAAAACTCTCTTTATGGCCCCTGCTTGGGAAGGACTGTGGCACAGCAGATAGTGGTGGAGGACAGAGTAGGAACTTCTGAATTTTTATCTCATCTGCTCCAGCAACCTCCTCTGTGCCCTTAGGCAAGTCTCTTAACCCAGGCCTCACTTCCTCCATCTGGGGAATGAATTTAATAATCATGATGTAGTTACGAGAGAGAGAGAGAGTGTGTGTGTACACACATGCACATACCACTAGCTTGGCCACAGTATCCGGTCTTCGTTGGTTTAGTTTTGTGTGAACTGCTGCTCTTCACATCTGTCTGTGAAAGATTCTTTTATGTCACTCTCCCTCCCCTATTAGTGTCCCTGCACTTAATCTGCTTTTGTGCCTTTACTTTCCCCTTACAGTCGATCTTTAGTTCTCCCACACATGCACACACCTGACTCCTTTTTTTAAACTGTTTCTCTGTTTAAGCCTGCAAGGACTATGGGGTAGGGTGGTCGATGTAGTTTGACCATTCACCTTTTTTTACTGGTTTCATTCAGATTCCTTTCCCTTTTCCTGAGAAACAGTTGTTAAGGTGCCTGATCGAGATGCTTGGCTTAGACCGGTGAATTGTACTATTCTGATTACTGGATATTTTTTCATATAGTGGCTTTTTAATGGGGAGAGGGGAGGGGAGGTGTGCATATGTGTATACACGGTTAGGGCATTCAGGGGGGAGAGGGAGTACACAGTTGGGACAGTCAATAGTTTTCTTAATGGTAATCAATTGAGATATACCGGATATACCTTGCATAAAGGATCCTTGGAGTCATTTCCACCAAGAGTGCCCCTTTCCTTTCATCTCCACTTCTGGATGCATAGCTGATCCTGCTACAATCACTGGCCCAGGGAATATGGAACTGGAATGAGATCCATGAGACCTGGGCATAGTGATACTTGCCTTTTCTGACATACTTGAAGGTTACTGAATGGGGGACACTGTATTAAAGCCAGGTGTTCACATGTTATGGTGGGCAAGTGCCAGGCTTTCTACCAAGCAATGAACAACATTAAGAGGCCTCCTGTACCCACTGCCACCGTCCTTAATCCATACCTGCTATTTCAGGCTAGGTGCCTGGCGTGGTGTTTCATATTCTTCTCAGCCACTACTGATTCAGCAAGCATTAGCAAATCATATTTACACTTTTTCATCCTTATTAGGCATTTCCTCCAAGAGAGGCTACATTAGAAAAGTAAATGTACGGTAGCATCAAAGATTCAAGCATGCTGACCAACCAGTAAAACTAACTACCGTTACTTCTACTCATTTGCCAAGAGGTTATACATCTGCTTCACTGATTGCAGATAAACAAGGCTACATTTTAGTCACGGGTATTTTTAGTAAAAGTCATGGACAGGTCATGGGCAGTAAACAAAACTTCACGGCCTGTGACCTGTCCATGACTTGTACTATATAGCCCTGACTAAATCTTGGGCTGCACCCTGGGGGCACTACGGGTGGTCGGGGGGGGCTCCACAGGTGCTCGGGGGAGGGTGGCGGGACTGGCAGGTTCCCTATCTGGCTCTCCGTGGCTCCCCAGAAGCGGCAACATGTGCCTCCCTCAGCTCCTAACTCCGCGCGCTGACCCCACCCCAAGCATCAGCTCCGCAGCTCCCATGGTGGGGAACCGCGGCCAATGGGAGTTGCGGGGGCAGTGCCTGCAGACAGAGGCAGCACCCAGAGCTAGGAACTGAGGGAGGGACATGTTGCTGCTTCTGGGGAGCCCCCCAAGGTAAGCACCACCCGGAACCCTCACCCCCTTCCACACCCCAACCCTGAGCTTCCTGCCACACGCACCCAAAGCTGCTCAGGCGTCCCCCAGGACAGCTGCACTGGCCACCGCAGAAGTCCCAGAAAATCACGGAATCCGTGACTTCAGTTACCTCCGTGACAAACTTGCAGCCTTACGGATAACTAAAGAAGAACTCAGACTTCTTAACAAGATAATTACTTCATAACCACAATAGCCAAAAGGTGCATTTCCTCAACAGTAACAGAAAGACCACATCCAACAGCTGTTATGGGTGAGCCTCTGGAGGTCGGGAATGTTCCATTGGTGCAATTCTTACCACATACACTCACACATAAGCCACTGGGCTTTGTGCTAGGATAACCTCCCCTTCCTTCCATGTGCAGGTCTTAATTTGATTGACAGGGCATGAGGGAGGATAAGAGGGAAGGAAGAATAGAGGAGAGGATAACAGAAGTGAAAGAGTGTAGTGGCACTTAAGGGAGGAATATTTTTCCACTATGTTTAAAAAATAGCATTTATGGTATTTTCCCCACCCTTAATCCCAAATGGTGGAACTGACTGCCTTACTTGACCTACGGTGCTGTTTCTATTTTATTAGTTTTCCCCTGAACCGTGATGGGGATTGAGACTAGAACTCCCCCTATATTTATCGATGTCCAGCTACCTACATTTTTCTAGGAGACAAAGTGGTTTCTTCTCTTATTTATTTAAGGGATTTAAATGTAATTTTCCTTATTCCTGAGATGCAGTTTGATTTTTCGATATTTATCTGAAAAATAGAGGATTTTTCTTTAAAGTTTTTTTTAAGATGGACTGCTTTACATTTAGGGCCTTTTCCCCCCAGATCCACACCCCACCCCCTACTTCTTCCTTTCTTCCAACCCCCCTTTAACTGGGGTTTTAAGGTAGGTAAAAAGAAAACCGTTAGAAGAAGAAAGATCTTATGCAATATGTAACTCCCCCTCCAGTAGAGCTACAAGGCTGGGTTATATCGCCCCTGCCATGTTCTGGACAATTTTTGGGAGGATAATTGGCAATGATGTATGGCATGAACTCTGACAGCCAGGACTTAAGAAGTTAGTAAGGGCCTTTGTCCTTCAATGCCTGGCATGCAATATTACCTGCAGGAACATGCTCATGACAGATAACTGTATTGCTGACACACACTCATTTTCAGTTGAAATTTTGCTGATATGACCCTACTACAGAGGGAGAGCCTATGATGCTGCTGCAGCATCTATGGATAGGAGTAACCCAAGAGGTTTGGCATTGGTGAATCAGTCTATGCTCCCAGCGACCTTATGGTACCACCGGGCTGCTTTTATCCATTTTGTCTTGTAAGAAGGTTGCTAAATTCCATGACTTGTGACCCATTCATCGAAACATGTGGGCCAATGCACTAGGGAGCAAGGTTCCACTCACTCTACAGAGACCTCATACCCACTGGTCATCTTCATTCAGTGCACAGGCTGCCAGATGCCCTGATCTGTAAAGGAGTTTCATAGTGTGCTGAATAATGGAAGGTTTGGCTAGGTCTTGGAAACCTCCAGAGGAGCAGGAACCACCCACTCACACTCACTCTGCTGTAAAGCATTATGGCTGCCTTACTCAAAGCTACCAACATCAGGCAGGAGGCCCTGTTGTTCAGGGTAGCCTTTCGGCATGCTCCTGGTAAGGAAGTTTGCAGTAGGGGCTGAGGGAAGCCAATTCTAGCACATTCCACAGAGAAGACTGGAGTAATGCAAAAGACATTTACCTTCAAATCCCTTTCTATAAGCCTGAGTAGTTGGAACCAGACCTGAGCTGGGCCTGAGGTGGGTGTCTGGGTTATTTGGCCTGTTCGATAGCTGCTTTGTCATCCCGTCCCCTTTGGCAACCTTTGAGTAAAAGCTTTCTGTTCATACACAGGGACTCTTTCCCCTCATTCAACATCAGCTAATCCCAGGTTCAGGAATTGGATAGATGGTGCTCTGTCTGCTTTAGAACATGTGTCTGCTCAGATTTGGCTTCCTATTTGTCAGCCAGCAGAGCTGACCATGGTATCACTCCTCAATTTGTACCCATTCTCAGTGCTTATCTTTGCTTGCAGCTTCAGGGGCCAGACTGGAACATGATCAGCAGATTCCCTTCCCCAGTTGGATCTTGGGCCAGCCTGTAAGAATGAAAATTCCTAAATAGTTTTCTCCTAGGAAATACCCAATATGGAAGAGTCACCTTGGGCTCTGCACATGAAGAGCTGCTGTGCGATCGGGTGCCTCTACTGAGAACACATGGGTCAAAGAGTCATGACACTGGGAATAAAATTTAAGACTTGTATTATTTTTGATTAAGCAGCAGATAAACATCTTTAATCCTGCATTTCCTCAATCCTTGGAAAAAGTTCTTCTCACCCCTATTTTCAGCATTCTAAGTTTGCAAACAAATCAGTTACTGCAAACAAAAGTCAGAAGTGGGGGGGAAATCAGGGCTTAATATGGGAGTCCAAGGTCAGCCTTAAGTATGGTGTCATTACCAACAGCGCCATAAAACTGTGCAGCACCTTGGACTTGGTCCAATTCCAGTTGAAGTCTATGGAAATTGGGATCAGGCCCACTGATACTTATGAGAGTGCTATGTAAAAAATAAATAAATACTACCTACATAGTATGAATTCCCCACACAGATATCATCTTAGTGCAGAAGATAATAGAAATCCCGGAAACAAATACAGATGTTAACAAGTGACACCAGAACAATGTTTTATTGATTATCTGTCAATTGTTAAAAGCTATTAACAGTCCTCTATCATTAGAGCTAAAGACTGCATCTCTTTAATGTCCTCTTCCACTACTGTAGTAAAGAGAAAATTGCTGCTAAAGTTCAGATGATACAAAAGTTGTGGGGGTTTTGTTCATTCATTTCCCTTGCTAGCTAGTTCGTGCATTTATCTTTTTCATCTTTATTCAGTGGCTGTGGCTTGAGAACAGCTTCTCTCCCTTCAGAAGTTATTTCTAAGTTTATCTTCTGTAGGGGAAGGAAACCAATATTTAAGTCTCAGCTAGTGAGCAGACGTTAATCTGTTAATTGCAATCAGTATAATAACTTATCAAGCAGTAATTATACATTTTGAGAGTTTGGAAATATTTCAAGGAGCAGATTGAGACTAGAAATATATACTTGGTCATGTCTTACTATACTATATATAAAGAATCTAGTATTTTGATATATTAAGAATGTGTTTACTAGTCCTTCACTGATGAGATAAAAAATTTCTCAGTAACTGAACTCTCTGCAAATTTATACTCTGCTTCTATTGTGATTTTATGTTTTAGATATTTCCAGTTTACAGGTCATTAAGCTAGTTAGAACACATCTGTCGTCAACAAATATTTCAAATTCATTTATTTTTAAACTTTGTCCTCATTTAGCATGTGTGTGTACCATGAGGGAGGGGGGGAAAAGTGATTTCCCTTTTTATTCTTATACTATCTTCTTCCTCTACCTATACAGTTGGATTCATGGTAGTAAGGCAGTGTGGCTTTACAAGCAGAAGACAACAAAAGATACTACCAACCTAACCTTTAAAACCCCTAAAAACTTTCTCCATTAAAAAGCCTGTTTTAGAATGTGGCATAAACAAAACCACAAATGATTCAGTGTAAGAGGTCTTAATTGCATTTTGAGATGGCTACTCATCACCCATGGATAATGTACCTATCCTAAACTTATGCTGATGTCTTTGTACCACTCTGCATGATCACATGGTTCTATGCATATGCTGATGCATATTATAGCTAGAGCAGTAGCAACAGCCATTGTTACAGTTGTTTGCAGGCACAGCACCTCTTCCTCTATTCCCCCAGACGGTGTCTTGGTGGGTATACTGCAGATAGGATTTCATTCTCTGCAATCTTTGCTATCCAAGCAAAATAGCATGTACATATAATTACATCCAAAACCAACCCACAACACATTAAAAGCATAGTAAGGTTTCAAAGTCAAGGACTCAAAATTTAAGCCCCAAATGAGCACTGCCTTCCAGAAGTTCCTATGGCTGCCTTGAAGAATTTACTTTTAGTTGGTGGTATCTTCCTACTCTACTGGCCAAACGCATACAGTGAACGGATGGACACAGGCAGCAGAGGATTAATGCCCAATTTACTTAATGAGGGGGAAATTTACTATAAAGTCAGCACTGGAATTTGTCCTCAGAATCAGTATTTTACCTCAGAATCAAAGAAAGAGAGAGCGAGAAAGAGAGCGCAAAATCAATTGCTTGACATAAAATAAAAATCTCTGTATTGCCAGGCGAGAGAAAGAACACTGTAGGAAAAAAAGAAAAAAGGTAATTTGTTACCTGTGAATTTGTATCTTCAATTCCTTCTTTTACTTCCTCCTACCAACAAGTGTAGACAAAAAAAATTAGATATATTTATTAAAATCAGTTATATAGTACCATACATTTACATAGTGCCTCAAATGATATAAGATACAAAAAGTCTCCAACCTACTGGCCTGATCCTGGAAGCACTTATGCATGAGTTACTTAACTCATATGTGCATTTCATTTAATTTCCAGAGTTTTCAGGATCAATTCTTCCATAAAACAAAATTAAAACAATGACAAGGTGAAGCATGAGACTGTGGCTCATGAAAGGGAGGCTATGGAGGTAATGGATAAAGGCAAGAGGAAGAGAGATTCTTGGAGAAGTGGATTTTCAGATAGTGGAATCCAAGAGAAATTCAGACAAACACAAAAATCCCAACAGGAAAAATTTAACTGCCAGCAAAAAGGTTGCTTCCACCCACTGAAGATTGGAAACATGTGAGTAGTGACATTATAAATCCTTAACATATAAGGAGCAACCGCCCCACCATTCTGACTTCTCATCTCCAGCTCCTAGTAGTAACAATAGGAGAAATTAAGCTCATTTATCAAAGCTGTTGTAGAAGGTGGCGGAAGAGAAAAAAAATTATATTGGTGTCATATATATTATATAAAACTTTTAAATATAACCTGCATTACAGTGCAGATAACTGAATTTAAAAAGCTACATACAACTATGCTAAACGACATGCACATGTGGCCTGATGTGTGTTCGTGCCCACCATTGCAATATATACATAATGGTGGATATTTGCTATTTATAAGCCCCCACTGGCAGCCAAGTATCACTGGAAAGAGGTCATACAGGATATTTGATCTCTGTGTATCCATTTGATTTTCAAGCCTTCACCTTCAGACAATTAAAAAAAGTACAGTTGTCTCATTAACAAGAATACTAATAATAATAATAATAATAATAAGACCCACTCTACAGAATACAGATCCACTCTACTCTATTCCCTCAAGCTCACAGGAAAATTAATATTCCCTCCTTACTTATCATTCTATACTTTCTCAAACAGTCTGAAATCTATTGTAAATGCATATGCTACCTAATAGTACCTCCATCTGCATACAGAGAGATCCTATGAACAGCTCTGGGAATTAAGATGGTGTGGCTTCATGCCATGCAAATTTACTGCTCTACAGCCAAAATGCTTCTGAAATAAATGTAGTCAAACTTTACTAATTCTGGGTCACTGAGAACGAAAATGATGCCTAAAATTGTTGATTGGCTCTAGTTTTTAAGATATGCTATTGGGTCAGTATATACGACCCTTGACTTGGGAATGG